GTCTTCCAAATAGCATTCTAGTTCCTAATTGATAGTTGTGTGTGTGCAACATGATTTGAGGACTGAAAGCCATTATCTCAGGGTCAGGTAAAGTCAAAATAAATTGCTATGAAAGCAGCAAAGGAATCTAGGTTTGCGTTTCACTGAGATTTGGTTATAAACACAGGTCACTGGAACAGCAGCACAGCATTTCTTTACAAGCTATCAATTTTTTTTTTCTTTGTAATTTAGTCAGGGAATAGCAGAACAGTTTAGTTTAAGAGCACAAATCATTAACAGTAAAGCTCCATCAGCAGCACCAGAATTTCCATACATGAAGCATTAGCAGAGCTGTAAGTGGTAACAGTAGTGTTTTCACAATACAAAAAAAGAAAACCACCAGTCCCAGAAGCCACCATTCTACCTCATCACTGTGGAAATGAGAAGCCAGCAGTCCCTCTGTGCAACATGCCCAGGACACCTTTGCTCCTCCAGAGCTGGCAATTCAAACTCTTTAAATATTTTGCAGTATTAAATGTCAGTGCATCTGATTCGGTCAGGTGGATGCTTCTGTCTCACTTCTTCCTACACAAAGGGCAGTCTTAAAAAGCCTTAAAAGGCACAGTGCATTCTCTAGGTAAAGATCACTATAGGAAAAAAAGGTATAGCATTTCTCCATGCCGGTTAGTGGTGCAGAAAGTCAGTATCAAAGTAAAATTCCACCTTTTTTGTGAAAAGAAGTTAGTTTATTTGAGAACTTCTAAAATATTCTTCCACAGGGAGACCATATAACAGTGAAGTATTTTGGCAGCATAACACCAGCTGAAGGGTGCTCTGCTGTTTTTCTTTCCCCTACTGACTTCCAGAGGAGTGCGATTTCATTAATGCTTTTATCTATCCATAGAAATCCAAAGGAGAGAAACGTGACAGGATTCAGTGACTACGTTCTAATATTTGCACAAGTGGTGTAGTCAAAATTAAACCAAAAAACCTCCAACCCTCTCAGATGCACCAAACAGTGCTCTTAAAATGTCACCTTGGGAGTTCTTCACTTTCACCTCCATGAATTGTTTTATTGCTAAAAGGATTATTTGGCTTCCTGACCTTGGTTTTTCCCTTGGGTACATAATAAATTCCAGAAGCTCGTAGAAGAAAGTAACGTCTCTTCCAGGACTTTTTTCCATCTTCTTTTAAATAAAGGGCCCCTTCAAGCTCTGGCACAATGACAGATGTCCCACAGAAGCTTTCCTGTGCAACAAGAATAATAATACATTAAATAAATTGATTTAAGCACAACCCTATTAATAAATAGCAGAAAAATGCTCCCTTGAAAAGTAAAGACATTTCCCGTGACAATGGACATATGAACATGGTGAATGCAGTTACCAGGGAGGTGAACACCTCAGACGGGCAAAGGAAACTTTTCCAAGCTAATGTGGTAATACAGACATGCAAGTTGAGTGCTCACACTGGAAAAGGCGCCTCACAAAACCTCCATTCTCTAAAGGTCAATAAAAAACCTACAGAAGGTTTTAACTAGACATACATGTACTCAGTGAAGGCAATAAAACAGAATGGCTGGTACTGCTGCTGGTGGTTTTTCTCTGTGGCTGTATCTACAGGTTCTGTAGAGAAATAATTCTGTAGGGAGCACTTTTAGAGACTGCTTAGAGCTCTAAAAACAGCTGAAGAAAAAAAAATCCCCCTCAATCTCTGCCTTCACTTTGAAAAACATGCTAGCATTTACAACAGTTTAAACATATACACTTTGTTGTTTGCTTGAAGGACATAGTGTTGGGTAACTTCTAATGACACACATTTATTACTCATTTTTTTCATTCAGAATTTACCAGGACTGGTTGACATCTGGTGCCTTCGCGAGATGCACTGATTTTGAAATAGGAATCCTCAGTCACCTAAGAACAGCATTTCCTCTGTGAACTTGTACCAAAGATGAAATGTTCACCTGGAGAACTGTGATAATCTTTTCTTTCATACAGCTCTGGACTTTCCTCTCTCAAACATACAACTGAAGTAAAACTGAAGCAGGAAAGGCAAAAGGCTAAACAGACTTTCTGGAGAAGTGCAAAGGTTCTTTTTCTGTTGTAGTACAGCTAATACTTTGAGGTAGTGAGCAGTGCATCTACTTCTCACCCAAAAGGTAATCGTTTGCTACTGATCAACCTTACAATATAAAGTCACAAGGGCTAGCCTAAGGGTGTGGCACAGCTGTTTCCTTTATTCATATTTGTGTAACACTGCCTTTATTGTTATCATGGCACTACTCTTCACAGAAACACTAAGTAAAAACATTTCATGGCATTAGGGTCTGTAACAAGAAAATAATTTTCCATCATTTAATTTCTTTTATAGGGGATACAATCTACATTTTTAATGGTAAGCAGCAGATGCAAAGGAAAATTCACACACTAAAGCTTAGACACAAAGACACCAACCATTACAGAACTTCCTGTTGTTACACATTTGCCCGCAAAGAACTTAAAGCTGTTATTGCAGAGCAAATGTAGATGGTGGCAATTTTTTTGCGACATTTGCACCATCAACCTAGAAAGTTAGCTTACCTCCAATAAAGCCTCTTTGTTTTTATCATTCATATTTTTGCTTTCATTCTTCCCTTTGTTTGCCAGGTAGAAATTCTGATTAAGACACAAAATAAATAGATGTTCATTATAAAGACAGCAGTACAAGTAACTATAGATCAGCAGAACAAGTAACTAAATGTGGCCTTTTCTCAGGAGCATGCTTGTGCGTGGGAGCATGTGAGATGGCTTTGCCCAACAGCAAGCTGAGCCACAGAGCAGAGCCCGGCTGCCTGCAGACAGCAACAGGAAAGCAGCTGGATGTGAAGGATCAAGGACATCTGCAGGCAGATCAAGGAGCTGTGCCATGCATCAAGTAGCCTTTGCATGCATGGGTTTGAGGCCAGAATGATAACATTCAAAGTTCCCATGTTGTACCATTTTCTAAACAGAAGTACACATAGAAAGGGAGCTTGGGTTTGGAAAATACCCGATGCATGGGACAGTCTTACTGATTTCCCTGGAATTAGTCAAAAAGCTACATTTGCAGAACAAAGGACCTAAACCAAACAAACACCATTGCCTAGGAAATAGACAAAATTTTAAAAGCCCAACAAATTTTGAAATCTATCTACTTAAAGATTACTAATTCTGTAATTATTCTGTAATTCTGTAGGAAGTAAACTAAGAGTTTATTTGATTTTTAATCTCTCTCCGTTTTTTCGTATCTCAAGACCATGAAAATGTGGCAACATATTTACATGCCTACAACTCCACAAAGACCAAACTGCAACACAAATGCAAACACTACCAACAGACAAATGAGAAGTGTGTAAATGAAGAAACATAATGTTGCTACAGTGTAAGAAAGAAACAAACAGGCAGCAAATCAGCCCTGCCAGCATAGCATGTTTACAGCAACGAGGTTTATCTGAAGTGAAACCCTGCTCTTCCACACAACCACATCTTCTTTTTCAAGCAGTGCTGTGAACAGCTGCCTGCCAGAATGTAAGCCTCAGAGCAGACGGTTTTTGGAGGGGCACCAGGAGAGGAAGGGGAAGAGGTGTGGATGATCTCAAAACCAGTTCTTTAAAAAATGCTTTCTTAAAAGTTCACATTCAGTCAGACAGGGGACATTGGAAACACAGCCACCTGTAATCTGAGCTATGCTGATGCCATGTCTGCAGTATGAACATAAGAAAAGAAACTTGAATTTTCAATACAATAGACAGTTATGCTAGGAAATACAGCAATGCCTTTCTCCAGGATATGCAGCAGTACATAGCTGGCTCCAGACTGCCTGCGCGTATTTTTCGTCCATGGATGAAGGTAAGCAAACGCTAAAGACTACAACTTTGTGACTACATCTGAAGACAGTATTTACAATGGAAAAAACCCAAACCAACTCAAAACAAAACCCACCTAAAAGTGTGTTCTCAGTACAACCCACACAGCAATGCCTGGCTATGTAGTCCAAAACCATAGGTCTGTCTGAGTGACAGAGCTCCACTCATCTCACTGGGATAAAAGATGCTGTTCTGAGCAGCTGCAGCCCAGTCTTCTGTACATGTGCAACAGCTCTTCTTGACAGGGAGCACCATCACAGCACTGCTGGCTTGATGCTGGCACACCCATTGGTGAAGGTAGGAAGAGAAATCTCAGAGGGCACTGTTAGGCTGGGTTAGGCCTCCAAACTTTGGGATGGATTTGGAAAGTAGAGGGACGTGCAAGCTGTAAGCCTTCTTCTTCTATAGATCATTGTAAAGACACACAACGGAGACTAATCAAGGTAAATATACCTTATCCCTGTCTCAACAAGGCTTGGCTCACCAGCTTTACTAATCGTGGGGAGAGCATTCATCTGGCTCAGTCAGCCTCCAGTGCACTGATAATAACAAAACAAAGCTCCTCTGATTACAGCTGATTCACATTCAGGCATCTGGCATTTATTCAGGAAAAACACAGGCCACCCTGCACGGACACAATCAATGGTAAGGAGAGAAAGTTTGTAATGATACCCACGCTGGATCTCCAGCAACGCAGCTTTTTCA